GCTACTAACTTTAAAGAGGGGAAGTATGGTTTAATTTTATAAAACAAAAGCAGAGTAAATATACCTAACTTTATTATTTTTGTACAACAGTCTTCAAATTATACATGTGACAAATATAAAGAACAACAAAAACATTAACAACCATTTAACATAAAATGAGAGTGCCAGGCTCACCTAGAGCTCCTGTGGGGAAAGAGCGTGGCAGAGAAATCCACGATCGTTACTCTAACTACCCAAATATAAATATAAAACAACCGCTAACAAAAGGCATAAATTAAGATCCATTGCCAATGATAAATAACACCCGACTTATTTAATTTCTCACTAAATGTCACCTCACTCGAATTAGACATGCACCCTTCCAAGTAAAACTAAAGAGGTTTGGTGTTAGTTAGCCGGCAGACATACGGGAGACAATCCAGCTATGAGTTGAGATTTCGGAAGACCTGTTTTAGCAATTCTTTTTTGTATTTAATTATTCTTTTTACAGATTCATTCCTCACGGACGAAAATGTTAGTAAATTCAATAAGCCTCTTATATGCGTATGACATAAAGTGAGCACAAGAAATGCTTTATTATTTATTTTTCGAACAATGTAATGATAAAAACAAGTTCGATGTGAAACAAAGGAGTTGTTATTGCAATATCTGGGCAGTCACGACAATATATATATTTTAACATGTAATAAATAATGAGCAATCGCCAATAATAATTGTAACAATTTTCCCTTAGAAAAATATATGCCCTTGAGCATAAAGCAATGGCGGCTAACTGTACAAAGAATTATTATCATTAAACATCTATAACCATCACAATCATAAGATTACATAGAACAATTAACAACAAAGTACTTAAAGAATAATTACCTGCTAATTAATACGCGTTAAACACTTTAATTTTTCACTATTTTGCCACACTGCCCGCCGATCGTCTTACTCCCATCTCCACACTGTTCTCACTTCCACTCTTTAGGCTTCCTTCCAGAATTCCCCACCTAAGCGCTTGTTTTTGCGCTTCCTTCTACCAACTGTCAATATTACGTTTTCATTATTATACAACACCCACGTAACAGGTGACGTTGAAGTTGATGCGATAAGTATGGTTTTGCACACTTGATAAGGAAATGTAGCTCTTTTAAGGACCTTGGTGTAAGTAACATTTGATATTACACTAGATTTTAATAATATTCAACGTGACGCATTTAGAAATTTTGGTTTCATTTTGAGGAATTCACAACAATTTAGAATTTAGGAATTAAGGCAGTGTCCTTATTGCTTAATGCATTTGTTCTCCCCAAACTGGAATATGCCTCTCTATAGTATGGAATTCACATTATATAGTTCGCAGTAAAAGACTTGAGAACATTCATGTGAAGTACTTATGGTTCAAGTCTGATGGCTATTATCCACCAAAGTGAATACCTCATGATACTTTGCTTGGACGATTAATGACTTGGCTCCACGACGTATGTGTAACTCACTAATAACCCTGTATAGAATCATTACTGGATTGATTGATTGCCTGAATCTTCTAGCTGCCTTGTGTTTTCGTGTTTCCCACTCTGGAACCCGGTTTTCGTTCTATCTCCCCACACCTCGAAAGAATGTATTAAAGTTTTCACCGTTGTATTCAATGGTTGAAAATCACTTAACGATACCGGAACACTGAAAACTGTTGCTGAAAGGCACCGCCACGTATTTCGTGTGGATTTTCGATAGTCCAGTGGTGAGTGTTGTGGACGTTACGTAGTAAACAATTTCGACTGAAACATGCTTCATCTGTAACAAGTATTTGCGCTGTAAATTGAGGATTTCTTGCATGTTCCTGAAGCAACCATTCGCAAAAACCTCGACGTAGTAGAAAATCCTCAGGAGTAAACCCTTGAACACGTTGAATATGACGCGCTGAATATCACCGATGTCCAAAACTCTTTGCGCTACAGCAACAAATGTTCGCGGTACGGAGGCACATCGTTCAGGATATCATGCGCGGTAGTTTTTTTTATTTGGCCCTATATATACCTACGTAGTGGTTATCTTTTATAATTTTTTTTATAAATTCACTTCAGAGTTAACCGAGAAGAGCAAAATGACGTTCTACAGTGTCAGATAAAATCCTAATATGTACACCATCTAGACCAGGGGTCGGCAAGTAATTTTAGGTGGGGTCCGGATACTTTTGAAAATTTTTAACGAGGTCCATAAAAAAATTCACATTTCTTATTTTTTATTTTAATTTGGACTCAAATTTAATCTGCTTACTAACCGTTAATAACTCACACACTCACACAATTGTAAAATACTAGAAAAAATGATAAGATTGACACTTAAACGTAAAAAACATTTTTTAAATAATTTATTTGAGTAATTTACACTTTCAAAAAATTTTTGGTGGTCCAGTATTTTACCTTCCGCGGTCCGGACCTGGACCGCGGTCCGCCAGTTGCCGACCCTTGATCTAGACAAATAGAAGTAGATATAGTGTTAAACGGCATTTTCATTTCTTAGATTAAAGCATTTTATTATATTGCAACAAACTTGTTTGTTTTCAAAGCCTTTTTAGTTAGAAAACTTAAATATTGTTGGTATTTTGAAAATTTTATATTTTCCACAAATCTACATTAAAAATAATAAGTAAAGTATATATTTTTGGAATGCATTTTCAGCTCTCTTTCCGTTTTTGAAATAAAATATAGGGTGTTCCATATATGTAGAAAGACACAAGTTGTGATCATATCACAAAAACTAAAAATATTATCACATTTATTTTTGCCATCGAATGTATCTAAAAAAGTGCCTCTAGAATGTTCAAACCGTTTTAAGATCTTGAAAAGGGCATCAGTCGGGTTTGCCAAAAATCGAGAAACGTCCTGTAGCTCGAAAACGGTAACGGATAGAGAGATGCGGTTTGCGCCATTATTATTTTATCGAAAAAAGAACTTTTTACTCGTCTATCAGATTTGCTTTGTCTATGACAGATTCGCATTAACCCTTGAAAACCGACCAATTTGAAGCACCCGGTACAATACATTTTTATAGATAATTCATTCATACTTTCTTTATGTCAATTTAAATTATTCAAATTTGTCTATGTCTTTATAGGTACATACACAATCCAGTTTTAGTTTCAAAATTCTTTGGAAACCAGGAAAACAATCATTAGTAATATATAATTAATTAATTACATAAGTAAATATACACAGGTACAGACTGACGCAAATAAGTTTGCTTCTGTGACAACTCTGCCCACACATGCGCACTGGTTACGTCAAGAAAAACGCTCCGGAAGTGTATTGTTTGTATTAGTAAATCTGCGTGTTATTCCTTCTAGCTGAGTGCGTTCTTTCTCAATCTCGCGCATCTCTGCCTGGGTGAGAAGCGCAAACTTATTTGTGTCCGCTCTGTATACAGGTATGTTCAGAAATTAAACCGACAAACGAAGACAGCAAATTCTAGGGATCATTATATCGTCTTGCCAAAAATGCTTCCTAAGGAAGGCTCTTGGACACTGTTTTTTTTTTAAATGAATTGTTTAGATCGCTGTTTATCTACAAGTATAAAAATTAGGATAAGTGTTAACTTTTATACGGACAGCCATTTGGGAGGGTCAGCTTATATATTTAATGATATTTTTTATCTACGACTTTTTGGTAGTTTTAATATCAAAATCGAAAATTTCAGAGGATTCTAGGATCTACCCTATGTGAGAAAAATCTGTTTGAAATGTTTGTGTTTTTTGCATGATATTTAGTAGTTGAAATTGGAAAACAGATAACATAGCAACCGGAAACAATGCTGAGAATGTCAGATTTAGAAATTAGTTTTCAATCAAATTGTTTTTCTCTCAGTTCTCAATAATTTAAATGGTTATTTGCTAAAATAAAAAATTCAGTGGTTTAAAAATGTTTATTACAGAAGAATATGCCGATATGCATTTAGTAGGTATATGCGAAATGCAATGTAGCGGCAGGTCTCGAGCAGCGGTATGTCGATATGCCGAAATATATAAATACTTTTACTGCCCTGCACCGACATTTAAGAGAAATCAGATCATTGATTCTTAAAAAACATGGCACGGGAAGACATGCTGATATAAGTGAATAACACGAGGAAGACATATTGTTGGAAGTTTAGGAAAATCCAGAAATTAGTATTAGGATGTCTTCTATTTGGAATTTTTTCGGCATATCGACGTGACGCTGCTCGAGTGTTACAATGCATATCAGCATATAGTAAATAGTTTTAAACAACGATTTAATTTATTGAGAACAGAAAAAGAGTTTGACTGAAAACTAATTTCTAAATCTGACATTCACAGCGTTGTTACCAGTTGCTATGTTATCCGTGAATCGTTTAAGGATTTGGGTGTATTATTTATTTTCATTCAGTGGGCATGTATTACCTATACATAACAATGAAGCTGGTTTCATTATTAGAAACTGTATAAAGTTCACATGTGTTAATGCGTTAAAAATCCTTTTTTTATTTACGTTAGAACAAGACTTGAATATGCTTTGATATGACACGCACATTATAATGTACATAAACGACTAATTGAAAGCATTCAGTACTTGACATTTAAGGATATTGAAATTTACCCTGAAAGAGGAGTTATGATCTGTAAATTACATTATGATGTCACTAGTTTGTTAGAAGAGTTTGTGTTTTTATATAACTTAAAAAAACAATGTCAAAGGGTCATCTTCAAAGAGCCCTATACTTCCCTTAGGAATTTTTGCATAAGACGGTTTATGTGAAATCGATATGAAATCATCCCTAGAATTTGCTGTCTTCGCTTGTCGGTTTAGTTTCCGGTGTATATTTTTACATTAGAGAACTTCGTCGCTGCAGATATAATTGTTATATTATTACCTACTATTAGATATTCAAATCTGTTACAATTTTTTTTTTTGGGAAGACTTACTAGTTAGCCGCAAAGTAGAAAATTTGACTTAAATTACCTTTTACTATGGATTATAAGGTAGGTACTCCACACTTACCAATATATTTTTGAATTATATATCTTTTGTTTGGATTAGCTCTAATAGTTTTTAAAACGTATTGCAATGTCCTGCACATATGGATACCAACACCTTGGCTACTATCAATCGGCTTTAAGATCCAAATATTCATCAGACCATCCATTTCGAGGTACGGCCAGTATATGTTTAGTTTGTTCAATATAAAATTAGCTTTCCTAACCATATCAATTTCCGTTACGTCACTGATCTTTCTGAAGTGGTTTCCGATGTGCACGGTTTTATAAAAGTAGTTCAAAAATTCAGTCCATTCATAGTCGAGAGCTTCCTCGATTTCATTGTCAATGTCTTAAATAATTTATGTATAGGTACAAGGAGTTGCAATATGTCGCTAATAAAATTGTATAGGTGATTCTCTGAACAAAATAACAAAAAAAGTTAATACGAATGTAGATGTAAACGTTCCTTTTTTAGGTAGGGTGGGATACATTTTTATTAGTTATTTTGATTTTGTTTTACATATTTGCTGGTAAACCACATATGGTAGATGTATTGGTACCAGTATCTATATTCGCTGACTAGATTTGAAATCATATTATTGTAGCTTTACTTAAATCTAGCCAATAAATAGGTGCTGAGTAACCGCTAACCTACGCTGTGAAATTATATGTACAAGCTACAAGCTAACTTACCAGTTTCATTTATACAGGGTGTTTCAGAATGACCTCCAGTAAATTCAGGGAGTGATAGTACGACAAAAAAATATAAATTTTTTGTCTTATGAACTATTATGTCTATCTCCTCTTGTTTTCGAGATACATAGCGACAAAAAAAGTAATTTTATGAAATTTTGTATTCTTTATTTATATTAATATATTCTCCTTTACGGGAGGCCTTTCTGAAACACCCTGTATAGTCAGATTTGTGTTCAATGGATGAGTTAGCGATGCTTGTTAAGGTTACCTGTGTCAAAATGGATTCGGATTTTGTAACGTACTTCGCTGGGTTTCGGTTTTGGTGGTGACGGTTAGTAACGTTACTTGTGGCCGCCCCCGGTATACTACCAACTCTAAACGGAATCTTAATTCACAATTGCGAATTCTAATTTACTAGATTTATTGACGTCACTGACGTCCTTATTTGGACGCCTAATTTTATGACGACCCTTGACTACTAGTTTATCGGCAGCGGCCGGTGGTGGTGAGTGACGTCACAGAAACGTACTCCGGATTAAATCTTTTTGTTCGGTTTTGTCTCGGGCGCCAGTTTCCCTATCTTTTACGTGGGGGAAACTCCACGTGAAACCTACCCTCGGTTTAGAGTAAGTACTCGGGATAGCTGCAGTGAAGAAAGTTTAATTCCAGGGGTCTGTTATTTCTCTTAATTTTAATCAACGTAGTTCTCTGAGTGTGGTGTTATTTTACTTTTAAAATAAACGGTGTTATCAGTGTAGGTCACAAAAAGATAAGAAGACTCTTTTTTACTGATCGGAATTTTATCAAACTTGTCGGCGTTAAGAATGAATACAAACTGGAATTATATTTACTAGAATTATTTTCTATTAATAAGGCCTATTGAAACAAACAAACAAAAGTAAAATAGATTCTAATTACAATTATTATCAGTAACAATCAGGAATATACAAATAATGTACAAGCGTTGTGAATGAAATAAAATGGGTTAGAGCAATTATTATTACGACGGATTTAAAATGCCGATGCGGTTTTTCGATGCTGTAAATAAATACAAATTTAGCACAGTCAAATATCAGGACTCAAAATCGGTACGGTAGAAAAGCGGAGTCTTTGGCATTTAGTTTATTTAATAAACAATCTAAGACTTTAAGAAACAGTACGCCAAAATAATATTCGGTTTAAATTTCGGTCGGTGTTAGAAAGGGAAGAATAAATAAGGTTAATAAATTAGAGCAATAAATAATCAATAAATAAATTGTCCCCCAATGGTTCTGAAACAGAAAAATAATTACGGTTTATTCTAATTCTACAAATAAATATCGGCGGCAGTTTCTAGCAAAGCGACGGAAATTAAGCGAAATTTAACCAGCCAGGGAGAACAAGCCAAGCAAAGCGGTTTACAACGGGCATAAATAAGCAAACGGTAATCAGGAAAATGAATTTGTTGGTTAACAGGAGGCAAAGTCTGGGCGAGGTGCGAGTTCAAATGCGGGGCGGCCGACAGATTTCTCCCAGAAGCGGTGGGGCACCCAGCCAAACTTCTAGGGTCTATCCGTCGCTGCACAGCTGACACACAACGTCTTCTACTGGCGGTGAGACACCCAGCCAAACCAGCAGTTTCGGTTATTGTGCCTTACAGCGTTTATCAAGCGGGGGCGGTGAGACACTCAGCCAAACCCTCGCCGACAATACCGTTGCCGTACAGTCTGACACCTTCACGTCAAGGGGCTCACAACGTTTGTCGAACGAGGGCGGTGGGATACCCAGCCAAACCTTCGCCGACAACGCCGTGGTCGTACTGTCTTGCCAAAGTTCAAAACGGCCAGACTTGTACCATAGCAGGACAAGTGAGAATAGGAAAATACAATTTGCTTACTTATTCCGGACGGTTGCTTCTGGCGGCTAACTCCTTGGGTCGGGTGGCGGTCTCTGGTCGGTTTTCAGGTCCTCGGGGTGGTCCTCGGGTTGGAACTTGAGCTCTTCGAGTTCTGGCAGCGAACTGAGGATCTTCGTGCAGGATCGCTGGTTTTATTGCTTCAATCCCTCCTTGACTAGGCAGGAGTCGTAGTGGGATGATGCGCGCGGCCCTCGACAAAGTGGGGCAAACGGACGGTTCGGCTCCACTCGCGGTTAATTGCTCTCACCCAATTAAACTAATTAAATAAATAACTGGCCAGCGGCCTTGCACAAAACGGAAAATTAATACTGGTTCATTACAATTTCTCCAAGGAGCATCTGAATCATTTACAAAAAAATTAGATCACTAAGGATAGTAACATAAAACATGAATATGAATTTCGCCTTTATACATATGTTTAGCATGTCCTAGTTAGAAAAATAAATTAACTTCACTTCACTGCCTTGTGCTTTTGTCTGAAAATTTTCAGATAGGACTGCAGCGCTGGCCTTGCAAATTTAGTTCAGCACTTATTTGAATGCGATAAAAATATAAAAAAAATCACGAGATGAAAATGTAATGGATGAAACCGAGAAGTTGTGTTAATTTTATCTAATTTGAATAGATAAAAGTAACACGTAAAATAAATGAGAGAAGGTAATTAAAAAAATAATAAGAATTGATCACTCCGTACCTCAAAAACACAGCATCCTATACCTACGCTCATTTGAAATCTTTTCAATAGAATCACCTGTAGAATTTTATCGGTGGAATGTCGCCGTTATTATCCGATTTTAAAAAACAAAAGATTGGAATTCATGATTCCAAAAACACTATAAGCTGTTAACATTTTTTCAACATTTTCCTTAATGACAGGAGATATACAGGGTGTCCCGTTCATGTTTCAAAAAAACTTGTGTGCCAGTTCCTCATGGAAAAATAATAGGGGTAGTTCATATAAAGTTCTTTTCTTAAACGCCCTGTTTTCGAGATACAGTGTGTTGAAGTTGTTACTTTCTAAATGGTTTTCCTTAATTATTTTTAAATCGGCTAAAGATAAAAATGTCAAAATGTGTACACAAGTAAGCATCAACTGTACGATAAGAATAATGTGCAAACAGTTTCTTTCTGAAAAACAGTGTCGCCGATACAGGTAATTGGAGGGGTATAATCGAAAAAAAAATGTTAAAAGTCAGAATTTATTATATTTCTAAACGGTTCTGTAAACTCTAAAGGATACTACAAAAAAAGGTATACTTGTCAAAATTCAGTAGCATGTACCATTTTCGAGAAAAATTAAGTTGCATAGAAGCAAATGGGAGACAATTTCAGCATCTACTGTAGTATTTCGAGTTTTGCTCATTTATTTAATTGTGCAGCTGTTTTGTTCCACATTTCTCCGAGTCTGTTTCCTAATATTTTTCTGCTCTTATCACTTTTTTTAAGCATTCATCTCCATTAACAATTCACTCCATTCAACAATTGTTTATTTTTTTAATGGTAGTGTAGTAGTTTACAAAATCTAAAATTAGTTATTAATAGATAAATTAATTATCATAATCTGTTTATTTTTTTTTTACTTTTTTAAATGTTAGTTGACAACAATCTGAAACTTAAAATAAATTTAATTTTTTTTTTAGTTAGTAAAATGTTTTACAATTTAACTCTTTCATGTGATACTTAAGAAATTATAGTCTTAAATGCAAATACTGTTGGTAGCTAAATGTCTTCAGCTATTCAATGGTAAAGTTCTTTCAATTCAATATTTTTTATGCCGCTTTATGTGAGCAAAAAAATGCAACTTCATTTTTCCCGAAAATGGCAGATGCTACCGAATTTCGACAAGTATACCTTTTTTTTTGTAGTACGCTTTAGAGTTTACAGAACCGTTTAGAAATCTAATAAATTTTGACTTTTAACATATCTTTTTTTCGATTGTACCCCTCCAATTACTTATATCGGTGACACTGCTTTTTAGAAAGAAACCGTTTGTATATTATTCTTAACGCACAGTTGATGTTTACTCGTGTACAAATTTTGACATTTTTATCTTTAGACGATTTAAAGATAATTAAGGAAAACTATTTGGAAAGTGACAATTTCAACACACTGTATCTCGAAAACAGAGTGTCTAAGAAAAAAACGTTACATGAACTACCCCCCATTATTTTACCATGAGGAACTCGCACACAAGTTTTTTTGAAACATGAACGGGACACCCTATGTATAGGGTGATTCAGTAATAACAATAATAATAATAAAATTATAAAATGCATATTTATGCTAAAAAAAATATTTTCAAATCATTATTTAAACCCCTTTTCGGGAAGCTGCTGACCGCTGATCTACAAAGGTTTATCCAGAGTGAATCTTGACCTACCGTATTCGGTCACTAACCTAACTTTTACTGCGTTTCTAATAGCGAACCTTTTTACCAAGACGCATGAATGAATAAGATATTTTTTTTACATTTTAAACATTAACAAGTATATTTGTTAATAAAAACAAATGTATAAGGATAATTGTTTTCGAATGTTGTGTTATTACTATTTAGAATTTATAATATTGTTGTTTTCACCACCACGTATACCTTATCGTATGACTTATTGCTTTTCTACATAAAATGACAGTACGGCTAAAAAATACTAACTCATCCGTCCATAGAAGCTTGTTAATAAAGTTGGGATTCACTGCACTTTGAGTTTGAAACCAATTGCTAATTTCAAGACGACTGGGAATCAGCTGTATCGTTCCAATTTTCCAACGTTCTGTGGTGTCCCGGCGTGTTCCCAGTCAGCAAATGTGATGCAAAGAAGGGCTTCGAATTAACTAGAGCTTATTTTTTTAAAAGGTCGAGTAAACATTTTTTTTTTCGATTTTTTGTCTTTATTAGGCCTTCCGAATACGTGGTTAAAATTAATGACAATATGACTGAATCACCCTGTATTAATGAAACGATAACCAAATATTTTTAAGCTTTTATGGTAAATAATTTCTTGCTGAATTCGACGATGTACAAACTGGATTTGTTTGCAGACTTTCGTAACTGTTAATGATTAAATAATGGTTGGTTGTCACATCATCGCTTTAGGTTTCTTGATGTTTTGAGGGATAACCGTTTTCTTCAGAACAACGATTAAATCCTGACCGATATTTATATTTACAATGTGTATTGTTCTATATAGCTTTGCAAGATTTGATGTTACCTTCCGGTACCTGGCTTTTACGTATTTAAGTATCAGTCATTTCCAAATTTCAGACAGTTGTAAACAATCGTGTGGGTTGAAATTATTTCGATTTTTCTGGTTTTCTATTGCTTTAAAGTTTTTACCAAAATCTTGTTTTTTACAAGAATCCTGCGTACGATCATTAAAGTGCCTTGAACTTTGTCCCGTAACAACTGCTAATTTTTCTATATTGTTGTTCTTTAAGTCATATTTGTATTCCTTTCGTTTTGTCTTGCATTGTAGGTGGTACCTACTAATAATGTTTTTTCTTAGGTGACGTATAGTATCAATACGTCTTTGTATATACGCAAATAGGCTGTTATCTCCATACAAGATCAAGATTATCCCGGTATTGTGTTTCAATATTATTGATGACAATTCAAGACTATGACCAGGATAGTGAGGAAAATTACGTCAAAACTTCGAAGTTTCATGAAGAAATAACATACAATAGAAAATATATACATAATACTTAAGGAGCTTTCTCTTTATATTCTTATTTGTAAGGTCTATACCTGAGAAGACAATATCTGACACTAGATGCAATAAGGCCAAGGTGTAGACCAGACGTAAAAACATTGTTCAAGATTAACTCAAGACCAAGGCAAGACCATGTGAAGACAATAACAACAACAAGACATCATTTAGACAACATTTTGAGGTAGTATGCAAACATGCTTTGAAAATGTTAGGGTTTGTAATAAGAAATTCCAGAGACTTTCATGATATTGCAACGATAAAAACTTTATACTATGCTTATGTTCTTAGTAAGATGGAGTACGCCTGCATGGTGTGGGTACCTTATTATAATATACATGTGGAGGCTTTTGAATCGATACAGCGCAAGTTTTACAAATTTCTGCTTTTCAAGCAGTTTGGATACTACCCTAATAGAGATATATCTTACTCTGAATTGTTAAGTATCACAAATATTGACAGTCTCCAGAAACGTTGGATGATACATCAGATAATCCATTTGTATAAAATGATTAACAATGTTATAGATGATATAAGGTTTCTGTCAATGGTTTCATTTCATATACCTCGGTATTCAGTCAGAAATAACGTCACATTTGAATATAACACTTCTAGTACAAATCAACATTTATCCTCGCCTCTTATTTCGATGTGTAGGTGTTATAATCATATACAGTACTGTGTTGATATTTTCAATTGTACAGAAAGCCTGCTTAGAAAAACCTTAAAAATAGTATTGCGATTTTAATGTATATATGTATATGATCTATTTCTTATTTTTTATGTCAGTACATTTCATTCTAAATGTTTTTAATTATTTAAGCGTCTTTTTTAATCCACTCTAAATTGTTATTTTTATATTTTGTGCTATTCTCTTACAGTTTTTACTAACTACTGTTTATAATATGTAATTTATATCCTTTATATGGGCGTTGGCCTGTTGGATTAATAAAATTATTATTAATATTAGCTCAGTAAAATAGGTCTTTAAGTCGTTTAGAGATAAAATACCAACCTGAAACTTCCAGAAATGAATCCAGTATTACTGATAACTCAAATATTATGATCCTAAACTGATTGGAATGTCAATATTTAATAATTCTGCTAAAAGTTCGATGAATTAATGCACCGAATAATAATGACGCCACTAATGAGTTTGATAGAATACCAATGACTAATTTGACAAATAGCTATAAAATGATTTTTAAAATTGATAACTTCATATTTTAGTGCAATTTTGTCCATTAAATTTTTATTTTCAATATTCTGTTGCCAAACGTTTGACAACAACCGTATCATAACCTCAACTGACTTACATTTCATTGCTTCCATCGGTATCTGAGCTAATAGTCTAGATATGGCACGTCAAAAAATCCATGAACCCTAACTTTCTGCCGTGTGGTAAATAAGCTCCTGAGTCGATGTGGAGCATTTTTTCTCATACCACATATATACAGCAGAACGGCCATTTTCGAAATTGAGGGGGGGGGGGAAATCTGGGGAAAAAAGTGGACCTTAACCGTCTGGAAGCAACGGTAAGTCAAAGCATCCAATTTTTATAAACCGGGAAAAATAGTGGCAGACAAAACTTTATCGCGATTTCGGAGAGAAGTGGGGTTGAAGAAAACCGGAAAAAGTGGATCCTAACTAGATCTATTCAAGTGCGATTTTCTTGTTACAACATGCACTACCGCAGACTAGCAGTATGACGGTAATTTGAAATCCAGCGTGGGAGAATTTCTCATAAAACTCGAAAACTGCTGTAAAACCGTATAAGTAAAAACTGAAAAAAATTCTGCCGCTTGCCAAATAAGTTACATACTGCTGGCAGACATTTACCACTCTCCCCCAAAACCACCCCAAAAGGGGTAACATGGTTAGTTTACTAGTGGGTGCGCATTACATTGACAAACATTGACATTGACATTACATTGGGTGGGAGGGGCCGGGGAAAATGTCTGCCAGCAGTATGTAACGTTTGTGCGGTCGTTATGGAACTTATTTGGCAAACGGCAGACATTTTTTTTAGTTTTTACTTATTTTATACTATTTTACAGCAGTTTTCGAGTTTTATGAGAAATTTTCCCACGCTGGATTTCAAATTACCGTCATACTGTTAGTCTTCGGTGTCTGCCACTATTTTTTCATAAAAGTGCGTGTTGTAACAAGAAAATCGCACTTGAGTATATCCGGTTAAGATCCACTTTTTTTCCGGTTTTCTTCAACCCCACCCCCCTCCGAAACCGCCATAAAGTTTTGTCTGCCACTATTTTTCCCGGTTTATAAAAAATGGATGCTTTGACTTACCGTTGCTTCTAGACGGTTAGGGTCCACTTTTTTCCCCANTGATAGAATGTGGAATTGATTGTAACAGTTCCTTTAAATAATATAAAATGCAGTACTTACATGTAATTTTTGATATTGTAACATTCAATAATATTCTAGACCAGGGGTCGGCAAGTAATTTTAGGTGCGGTCCGGATACTTTTGAAAATTTTTTACGAGGTCCAGAAAAAAATTCATATTTCTTATTTTTTTTATTTTAATTTGGACTCAAATTTAATCTGCTTACTAATTAAAAACTCAAAACGCTCACACAGTTGTAAAATACTAGAAAAAATGATAAGATTGGCACTTAAACGTAAAAAACATTTTTTAAATAATTTATTTGAGTAATTTATACTTTCAAAAAATTTTTGGCGTTCCAGTATTTTACCTCCAGTATTTTACCGCCAGTTGCCGACCCTTGCCCTAGACCCTAGACTATAATGGATTTAAAAAAGCAATTGAATGAAAATGCCTATGCCTAGAAAACCGGTTCTAAGGAAATCACTGATACCTAAAAAATTTTCTATAACGCGCACTCGCCATGGGACCTACTATACTATACAACGGCGTGATGTTATTTTCATAGCGCTAAGAAAATAACATCACGCCGTTGTACTATTGGCACTTTCCGTGCACATAACCCCCTACGCTATAGGTCCCATAACGACTCGCACTTGTGATAGAAAATAGTATGTGCAACTCGTTCGGAAAAGTTGCCATAGCACTCACCTCACTCGTTACACAATGTACTATAAAAACGTTTTATTGGAATTCCGATGGATGTGCATTTCGATTGTCCTGTATTGGACAATTGTGTTGGCTTTGTGGAATGTTCATATTAATTTATTATTATTATTCTTAATTTTTCCTAAAAATATTATGCGAAAATCAAGTTATTATACATTGCGATTTTGAAATATATCCTTACCACACTAGTACAAAAATATTTCTCCATTCAAAAGAAAATTGCCAGTTATTGTCTTAAATATAGAATGTGATAAAAAAATAAGTAAATGAGTGTAAATATCTTTTTAGCTATAAAAGCCAAATTTTGGTTTTGTAAAATCGGTTAAAAAGGCGAAGACTTTTTTTACAGACACTCAGTGTACACGGTGAATACGAAAAATAATTCCCTTTGAACAATATGTTTTACTTACCTTCATGCTGTGCCTTTTTAATAAATTTATAACACTCATTTATGGCAAAGTCAAATACTTCTATCGGTATTTTTCCAGATTGACTTAAAACTTTATACTCTCCAGTGTCACTATTTTTAACGACCCATTTCAGCAGTGACATGGCTGCCGTCCTATGGAAGTCTTTTATGAATTCTGGTGTGTCTCCATCTTTTGTGAGGCTGTATGTACGAGGGTGATTCAGATTTGCTACTCCAGGGATTCTAAACCATACAGAATTCTTATTAGCGTAGCATAATCCTAGTTTGTTGGCATAACTGAACAAGTTATATCTAAATTTATTAATTTTTGTAAGTTTAATCTTATCTGGACACTCTTTAAATGACTCGTAGGTGGAACTCCAATATAAGTCCACTTGGTGGGTTTCCAATAACTTGGATTTGATTAGCGTTTTACAAGTCTCGGCGATGTCTTTATTCCGAATCAATGTTACTAATTCATGAATTGAGTATGTTTGGAATTTTTTCAGATCATCATTCATTTTGGATTTGTAAGAGATTTGGATTTTTTCAACCCACCCTCTTTTTAATAACGCACGACGAACTGCTGGAAAAGTACCCTTAATTGTGAAGGTTTTTTTTTCCTTTATAGCTTTTTGTACTTCAGCCTTTAACACGCCTAGAGGATTATATTCCAATTTTGGGCTTGCTTTTCTATATAAATTAGTTAAATTGGATATATTGCTTTGCCTAGAACTGGAGTAACAGAAATATTAATATATTTTAAATATGTATATATGGCGTTCCTAAATTAACTTTCGATATTTTCAGGACGGATAGTACATAAAAAATTATAATAATAATAAAATAAAGACATCAATTTATATCAGCTCTTGGAAATATCTAATTCGTATTTTAAACTTACACGTAAGGGTACGGCCATTTATAGTCCAGTCACTGAAGCATTTTGGCTACCAATTTTTTCGGATGGAATGGATTGATGTGAAATTTAAACTGTAGCTAGCGAATAGCCCTAGAAATAAAAGTTCTATAGTGCCGATGTGTGCTTTTACCTAGGGGTGGATGCCACCGCTTCTGGAAGTTCTGGAGGGTGGGAATTTTTTTATTAAAAATAAATTCACGATTCCATAGAGGGACGAATTCTAAGCAAAAAATGTTCTATAAGAATTTTTTGTACAGTCAATACTTTTATTATTTGCGCCTAAACATGTTCGTTTTTAGCCCAAAAAATGCATGTTTTTGAGCCATTTTTCGCGAATATCTCAAAAACTACAAGTTTTATCAAAAAAATGATCATACGGTAATTAAATAGCAAAGAGGTTGCTTTTTTAATTTTTGTAGGTGGTATAGAACTCGAGTTATGACTTCCAGAAGTTGAAGTCAATTACGAAGATAGCTATAATCGAAACGTTCAACGTCCTGTAGCGGAAAAATTAAAGGTTTACACTTATTAAAGTTCTTGAAAAGACCTTTAAATTGAGTGGTGGTAAAAGTCGTTAGCATGAAAACTAATGAAGTTACAATCAAAATAAAATGATTGTCTTGATTTTTGAGAAAAAAATCGGTATTAAAATTAATGACGACAGTAAAAAAAAATTAAACGTATTCCTTCTGCAATTTACTTTATTTTATAACAAAAGTTATAAAAAAATAGAATAAGAAATTGTTTTTTCTTACTGTATAATTTGCTTTTTTAAAATTTTTGTAGGACAAAATTTGACTGAGTTATGACCGTTAGAAGCTCAAAACTAAGTTCCAAGACTGCCTTTCCTGAGCCCTTTTAGCTTACAAATTTAAAAAACGAAGGGCTCAAAAAAAACTACAAATCACATAACTTAAAGTGCTCTAAATTCCCTACAAAATGGTTTTTTGAGTAAATTTATAACTTTAAAATTACAAAAGTTATGGTAAAAAAATTAATCGGTAAAATTTTCGGAGCGGGTAAATTACCATTATCTTTGTGTATTATGGAGCACTTGTGAACTGATTTGAGTAAGTATTTTAATAATATACATACACAACACGTATCCGAGTTCACATTACATGTATTCTGTTACACTATGTATATGTATGTATATTTGATATTAATTTAATCAAAAAATATTAAGAATAAATTCAATAAAATTAAAAAAAATTATTATATCATCATACTCACATATAATATTTAGGAAATTTTTCTATAAGAGGTAGGGTTTTTTTAAGAGGGGTAGGTCTTCCATAAGGGTTTTTTGGGTGGCTGAAAAGTTGCAATCTATCATAGATCATTTGAAAACCCATAAAAAGTTTATAATTCAACATATGCATACCATTAAAACATCTCAAGCTTTCAATTATATTTTTTGTTTATTTTATTTTAAGGGATGGTTTTTAAGGGTTGCAACTTTGTAATGAGTCGTAAGCTTTCTAATGAATAACAAAAGAAATGCAATACATTGTGAATGCACCAAAAGAATATTTTAAACTGTTAAAAACTTTTTTTTCTATTTTTTTGGCCATGGAAGGGTAGTTTTTAAGGATTTTTAAGGGTTGAAAAGTAATTAAATTTCATAAATTATATTAAAAAACATGAAAGGAACTTTATCCAACATATTTGAACATGAATTGAATCTTTAAAATACGTAAATCTGCGATTTTCGCATTTTTTTCGTACAAGGGTAGTTTTCACCCCCAAATAGAAAAAAGCACACATCTAGACAATATAACTTTTGAAGTGGGGGGTCAGATGAGCTTGTATGCAAATTTTCAGGAAAATCCATGCTATCCGAAAAAATTGGGAGCTTTTACTTTATTTTCGCCTTCAGTGACTGGACTATTAACGAAACACCGCCCAATAGAGTCCGTATTGGTGGGCAGCCTCTACCATTCAGAGACAGAATATTTTTAATTACTGATGAACGATTAGCATGTTAACCATGAGTTTTTCCTCATCTTAACCGCCGGATCACCTATACAGGGTAGGAAAGTACCAATGGTCTATCTGAAGTTACGTGAGAGCGATAAAGTAAGCCATAGAAATCCATGCGATAGAGAAGGATGGCTATAATGAAGGCCTCTCATAAACACCGCCCGTTTCGCCCTTCCACAAATAAGATCCACTTCTTATTTGTAGAAGGGCGAAATGGGCGTTGACTATTAGACGTCTTCATTATAGCCATCCTTGTCTATCACATGGATTTCTATGGCTTACTTTATCGCTCTCACGTAACTTCTGATAGACCATCGGTACTTTCCTACACTGTATAAACATTTAAGAAAGTACTGTCGTATTACAAAATTTCGCTCAACTTTCCAATCGGGACTACGAAGGGCCTTCCCGACCAAACTGGAGATTCATGTCCGAAGGGACTCAAACTATCCTTTACTAGTAAGTAGAAGGTGCGTCGCGGAAAATAACATTTTCGAAGTCTCTAAAATTTCCGCATTGGTTCTCAAAGAGGCTTCCAGCCTCCGATGTTACAGCAGACGACACCGACGGAGGTCGATGTGTCGGTGTGGAAAAATTGCTCTAGTTTCTGAGTTTGGAAAATAAAAACTTCAAAAAATTTGAAATCGAACTGAGGAACCGCAATATCAAACCACGCCACCACATTGGACTACAAGCATATGACCCGCTCCAAGAAACTATAATCCAAAGATGGGCAAAAAGCAGAGAGGTCAACTATCCAGACATAGGGCGTTCTTCACTATAGGATTTCTGCGGACCCATTAAGGAATGTCATTGAATGTCGACAGTGGTGCCTTGTAATTCAGTAAGCAGGGACATGAAGTGCGACACAAAATTAATATTTGCATTGCATAAAGCTCTTTGCACATCAAATACCATTTATTGTAAATAATATATTTTCAATAAGTCTAAAATTCTTACAACTCCAAACATTGTTACATTTCACAAATTTATTTGAGCACATGGCTTCCGGACGAGACTTCAGTTCTAGATACCTAACCACCCAGACATTCTCTAATCCTGCGGGATACAACACGTTCCTAGAAACTTCTAAACCTGTAGGTCCTCTCAAGGCCTACATAAGCTCCAAATTTTCTAAACCAAGTATGACTTTTTTCACAGTGGCATTTATTTTTCTATTTTATTCTTAGTTTTGCCTATTGAAAGATGGTAGATAGAAAATAATTTACAAAAATTAAAAGAAAAATATTGAAAAGTCAAAAGTTAGATTTAAATATCCACTTAACAAAGAGAGAAAGTATAAATGTGAGACAAGCGTCTCTCCTCCTTCCCCCGTATCGATATCCACGTCAGTAATAGAAGATGATGGTGAAGATGATCTTATCAACACCAAAGACAACATAAAAAAAATTGTAGGCGGTCCTGAGATTCTTTAATATCCGCAAGTTTTTCATTATACCAGATACTGCATCAGATTGGAAGTGATGGTTCAACAACGTTTCTCTTTCTAACTAGTGACAGACCTAACTAGTTTCTAATTAAATCGGTGAATTTGTTGGTGGTCAGTTCATCAAAGACTCATTTCTTTGTTCTGATGAATTGATGGAGGGGGGAATGAGATGTTGCCTAAAATTACAATTATGACAAATATTTCGCTTACCACCTACATATGTCATTAGTATTAGTTTTTAAAATTGGTTTTTACACAATTTTATTGGATAAGAAAATACAAATAATAGTGCTCTTGTTCTTTATTTTGCTGTTTTAAGTGTAAACAGGTGAGGTGATGGTCGCAACATCAACAGTTAACTCTATTTTATGTTTCCCATTTCGTTGAATTTTGATATTCAAAACCCTGACGTCGTTAATCTATCTGGGTGCAATAAGAAACCCAGTATTATATTTGGCTTCTGATTAGACAAAGGGTTAATAAGTACAAAATTTTATTTTATATGAGCAGAGTTTCCAAAGTTAGATCAAATGCTGTGGTTACATATTAATTTTGGGGGCTACTGGAGAAAATAAATACATTACCAATTTTGTCTTTTAATAAAAATATTTAGATTTTTTAAAGAATCTGCAAAGAATACGCCAGTACTTCCTTATGCAGCAGTGGAATGCAAACATTTGAAGTTTTACTATTTTTCGAAAAATGATAAGAAAAGCGCTTATATTTTATGTATTACTTCTCTTTTGATTACCTTGCGTTAGACCTTGTGCTGCCGGTCGTACTAGGTTTCGCCGAATTAGTTACGGGTTTGTTTCCAGCAGTTCTAGTTTTAATGACAGTGCCTTCGGAGTTCGGACTCCTGTTATTAGGTGCAGAAGCAGGTATCGGATTGTTTACGTTGTTGTTTTTAATATTTCCTGCTGACTTAGGTCTCGAGTTATTTTGGCAACTTTTATGTTTAGTAGTGATTGGTGGTCCCGCTTTACAGTTTTTGAAAAAGCCTTTCTTCTTACCGCCGTTTTCATTGCTTTTCAAGAAAGATTCTTCTAGTTTGGGAACGACGTCGGAAAAGGAATCATTTTTGGTTTTAAACGTAGGTAAGTGGTCTTTAAGATCTTTCAGGATGTTGGTCATATCTTGAGTAACCTGTTTGGCAAAAAATATGAAAGATAGGTATGTAATAAACTTCACAGTGGTTTCTGTACCTTTTCTAGAGTAACTTCCGGCGCATTTTTCTTCACTATTTTCACAGGTCCACTTGATTTTTTCTTATTAACATTTTTTTTGTTTATATAGCTGTTGTTACATTGAATTATATCTTGGCATGCGTTTAATACAGTGTTTATTCTGTTTTGCAATTCTTTGGAGTTATCGGTTTTAGTAGCTTCATTTGGATCTTTCCTTAGGTTTTTCATGGGTTTCTATGAAAATTTAATTTTATTCTCGTCAACGTATTTTCAAACATACGTACCTGGTTAGAAACCATTTCTACAAAAAATTTGGATTAACTTAAAGAAATCCATTAAAACTAGCGATTTTGAAGGCAAGTCATACTGCCAAATTGGTGACATAATTTTTAAATGGCAAATGTCACGGATATTTATCTAAATTAAGAAGGCTGGGAGGTTAATAGCAATTTGTATACAGGGTGTCTCATAATTAGCTGCCAACCCTGAACAGGCCGATTCTATGATCAAAACTAAGTAAAAAAGTTCATATGAACATGGGTCCGGAAATGCTTCCTAAGGGCACAGGGACCCATTGAAGAGGGAGGAATGGAAATCATTTTTTTGCAATATCTCTCAATCGCGTTGTGATAAATGAATGAAATTTGGTATACACAGCTAAATTTTGATGAGCAATTTGATGGACTAATCCATTTATTTCCACAAGGTCCATTGGGGTGGGTACGGGGGGGCCCTTGGTACTTTGCGTGTGTAACTTTTTCATCTTTGACTTTTTAACAAATTGGACAGCAAATTCCGTTTTCCCGAACTGTTTTACGTTAAAAAGGTACTCTTGTTTCAAATCGTTATCTTTAACGGTTTCTGAGAAAATCGCTCTTGAATTAATCCCACTTTGGTCAATTTCATAGTAATTTAAACAAAATTATCAAGGTATTCTTATGTCAAAGTATTGTCAACCCGATTGCCAATTTAATAGTTCTAAGCGAAAAAAATGGAAGAGTTTACGGGACAAGAGTTAGTTGATATGATATTTATTTATGGCTTTTGCGATGGTAATGCTGCAGCGGCAGAACGCGAGTACGGGAGAAGGTTTCCAAACCGAAGGCTGCCATCAAGGAGGACATTCCCTACGGTATTCCGCAACTTAGCTGCAACCGCCACTTTTCGAAAGGCACCGGGTCAAGGACGTCCCAGGATTAATAGGGAAGCGGAGGTCCTTGACGCTATTGAACAAGATCCTACGACTAGCATACGGAACATTTCAAGGCAAATAAATGTTCCTCGGCCAACGGTACTACATATCTTAAAGATTTCCTTAACAGAATTGATTAGATGTGCTACTAACATTTCAGGTTGGAAGAATATTAAAGCGACAAGGTCTACATGCCTATCACTATCGACGTGTACATGGCTTGATACCAGAAGATTTTGCGCCACGTATGCAATTTTGTCGCTGGATTTTGTCGCTGGACAACGAGCAAGCTTCCAAAATTTTGTGGTGTGACGAAGCTACTTTTACCCGAAATGGAAAATTAAATTTTCATAATTCTCATTATTGGGAAGAAGAGAACCCACATGTTGTTCGGAGAACAAACTTCCAGCAACGGTTTTCCATAAATTTATGGGCGGGAATAATTCACGACACTCTGATTGGACCTATTGAAATTCCACAACGTCTCAATTCAAATCTTTATTTAAACTTACTTCAAGAAAATCTTCCCCAAATTCTCGATGATCTGCCTCTAAATTTACGACGTAACATGTTTTTTCAACACGATGGAGCCCCGGCACATAGTGGTCGCAATGTTCTAAATTTCCTAAACGAAAATTTCGCTGGACGGTGGATAGGGAGGCACGGACCGGTAGCTTGGCCGCCGCGTTCTCCCGACCTAACCCCGCTGGACTTCTTTTTCTGGGGATATCTAAATCAAAAAGTTTACGCCACCGAAGTCGATACCCGTGAGGAATTGCTGCAGCGTATCAATGATGCAGCCAATGAAATTCGTCAAAACCGTTTTAGCATCTTAATAGCTTCGAGAAGTGTTACACGTAGGGCAAGACTTTGTATCAGAGAAGGTGGAGGGTTTTTTGAACAGTTTTTAAAATAGCTTGTTGTCTGTTATCAAAATTAAGTTTCCATCTTATGATCCCTTCGAAAAGTGACGGTTGCAGCTAAATTGCGGAATACAGTGAGGAATGTCCTCCTTGATGTCAGCCTTCTGTTTGGAAACCTTCTGCCGTACTCGCGTTCTGCCGCGCAGCATTACCATCGCAAAAGCCATAAACAAATCATCATATCATAATTGTTCTACATCAATAATGTGTATTACTGATTACGTATTAAATTATTATTATTATTTTTTGTTTAAATTACTATGAAATTGACCAAAGTGGGATTAATTCAAGAGCGATTTTCTCAGAAACCGTTAAAGATAACGATTTGAAACAAGAGTACCTTTTTAACGTAAAACAGTTCGGGAAAACGGAATTTGCTGTCCAATTTGTTAAAAAGTCAAAGATGAAAAAGTTACACACGCAAAGTACCAAGGGCCCCCCCGTACCCACCCCAATGGACCTTGTGGAAATAAATGGATTAGTCCATCAAATTGCTCATCAAAATTTAGCTGTGTATACCAAATTTCATTCATTTATCACAACGCGATTGAGAGATATTGCAAAAAAATGATTTCCATTCCTCCCTTTTCAATGGGTCCCTGTGCCCTTAGGAAGCATTTCCGGACCCATGTTCATATGAACTTTTTTACTTAGTTTTGATCATAGAATCGGCCGGTTCAGGGTTAGCAGCTAATTATGAGACACCCTGTATTGCTACTCGTATATAGGGTGTAATTAAATGGTTTGACCAAATTTAAAGTCGGAGTACTTATATCAAATTTAATTTTTTGTAAAATTTTAGTCTTTGATTATTATCTATAAATATTTGTACAATGAGTTTTTAAATACAGTAGCACCGGGGTTGGATTTTGTAACTTTCACCGTTATTTCTTTTTCTAAGATATTTTAAATTGAATCATTATCATACATCACTAAAAGCTGTACAAAAAAGAGGGTGTATTATTTTTTTGAGATAAGTGGAAAACTTATGTATAAGTAGGTATTTAATGTTACAAGTATCAGAACATTGTGTATTCTTGAAATGATGATAATCATAATTCAAGTAATGACTTTACCCGTTACCACCAAGATAGAAACCCTGGATGCTTACGTGCGACGTCATCGTAGATAGGTAAAGCGAAATAACAACAATAAAGTACATGCAAGTTAATTTATCGAGTATATTAATACGTTATATGAGAGATTGAAGGGATTCCTGTTTAAAGAGGGCGCCAGACGTCAACTGATCCCTTCAGCGCACCCCATTCGATTTTATTAATGGAAAAACGAAATTTCGAAGCAAAAACCTATTAGTTAAGAGTACTTATTTTAGTTATTTATTAAATGTTGCTATTTTTCTAGTCTTATTACCTTTAATCTTTACTTGGTCGTTACTTTTAAAACAATAATTTTTTAATAAGCTATTTATTGTTGATTGAAGTATAATCTTTGTAATCGTTTCTTTATCATGAGTATTACATTCTGAAAAATTTTGCATATACCCATTTTTTGAAATATATTGAAATATAAAGTGAATTAAAAATTGACGCTTATTACATATAAATGAGAAATCTTCCTCG